AGGAAAGGGGGAGGAGAAAGCATAAGGGCTGTTACAAAGTTGCATATGTAAGTGCGTGTATCGCTCTAGGAAGGCACTGTGTGATTGGAAGCAGCTCCTAATCTAAGACCCACACCTCAAGCCCTGCATTGTCACATGGGACACCTAGCACAGAAGAAGGAGCCACTATGATACTCTCCCTGCTGGAGCCACTCCACGTTGACACAGTAATCAGGTGGGACAGAGAGTAGGGAGGAAGGGGTGTTGTAATTCTGCATGCTGGTGCCGCCCCTCGAGCTGATGCAAATAGTCACTTGGAGCAGCTTCCAGCAAGGAGGAGGAAGTAAATAAGGGGTTGGTTGTGATAGCTTTGCCACAGACAATAAGAAAGTCCCTGGAGATGGCAGGATCATTTTGGTATTTAGTAGCTTCTGCTATATAAGGTACAGGTAATATTTTTAAAGACTTAGACATTTAAAAATTGCTATGTTGAATGACACTTTAAATCAGACAACTGCTGGTAGATTCAACAAAAGAATTGGGTGCAGGTTCACCAGGAGGCGGCCCATTTCTCTCCCGTTCATTGAAGGACACAGGGAACAGATCGGAGATCATGTACTGTAGGGTAATATCGCCACCTGCAGGAGAAGGACGCTAGGCAGCAGGAGCGTGAATTGGTCACGGCCTTGGTTTGCGCTGTGCGGGAAACGCTAAAAATTGAAGACACTCCGAGCTCTTCGGCGCTCCCGCCGGTTCCTTTTGGGACGCACAGGAGTAGGCGTTCTACTAAGGTTTTCCCTTAAGCCGTGGCGTACGTCAACCATCAGGGCGGCACAAGAAGTGTGGCCGCGGCTCGGGAAGTGGAAAGCATTCTATCTTGGGCGGAGGTGCATGTCCCGGGTCTCTCCGCCGTGTACATTCCGGGCGTGGACAATTGGCAGGCCGACTATCTCAGTCGCCAGTCGGTGGACCCGGGGGAATGGATGCTACATCCGGAGGTGTTTCACCAGCTTTGTCTTCGCTGGGGGTTCCCGGACGTGGATCTCTTGGCATCTCGCCTCAATCGGCGGGTCGATCTGTTCGTGGCCAGGACCCAGGATCCTTGGGCGGATGCGGTGGACGCCCTGGTGGCGCCGTGGGATTGCTACGTCTGATTTACGCCTTCCCTCCACTATATCTGTTGCCGTGTCTTCTTCGCAGGGTCATGGTGGAAGGCGTCCCGGTCATCCTCGTGGCTCCGGATTGGCCGAGGAGGGCGTGGTACGCAGATGTGGTTCGGTTGGTGGCGGACGTCCCCTGGCGCCTGCCGCTCCGTCCAGATCTTCTGTCTCAGGGTCCGGTGTTCCATCCGTCTT